TAGAGGGAAGGCAGCTAGTCATCACCACCCACCGCCAACTCTTGGGCTACTTTTTACCAACGAATAGTGGGATTGACCGCATATTATAACGCCCCCACGGCTGAAAGGGATTCGAACCCGCGACCCTCAGATTGCGAGTCGAGTGCCATGCCGGGTTTCCTTAGTTTTCAAAAAATGTTACATTAAAGAACTTGAAACGTTTCCACTACATGAAAAAACATCAAGTCAAAAGCTGTACATAAGAAATTCACTTTAAACAAGTATGGCTATGTGATTGTTAAACAACATATTGTTGTAGAGATATCTATAAAATGGGGATAAATTTTATTCCATTGTAAACGGCTTTATACTTTTTTACCAAACATTTACACATTATTCCGACAAAAAGTTAGGGGAATTAAATCAGGAAATCCCCAGTGCAGAATTAGGTTAGCACAATTAATAAGGATAGTTCCAGTGCAGGATTAGGTTAGTACAATTAATAAGGATAGTTCCAAAATTGTACATCTATAGTAAAGGAGTTGTCACATATAAGAACAGATAGCATTTACTGTAGAGATTTCGTGATCATAAAACAATCCGGAAACTTGTCCTAAATTTGCAAGTTACATTTATCTTCAACAAGACAACACGTCGACAGTGGTGTCATCTGTGTATGATGGAAATCGAGCGGAAGCAGATAGAAAGATAAGAATAATAAATACGCACAGGATGTTCGAAAATAATGTTCACAAAATGACATTAGAATGTATAGACAATACACTGTTTTATGTAACTTCTAAATTATGTGACTAAAATATGTGACTCTCAACCAACCTTTCTAAAGGTTGGTTGAGAGTCACATATTTACCATTATCTTTCAAGTTTCATTTTCAATATTGAATATTATCGTAAGATATATTACACTTGAGTAACTGATAATGATCTGTCGGATATTTAACACTGCCAATAACACATATTTTGTAAATTCCAATAAGTTATACTCCGATTAAGTAGAGTGTATAATATGAAATTTTAAAGAAGCAGAACAAAAGGCATTGGATCTGTAGATCCCAGCCTTGGCACTTGGATTTATTAATCCCTTCCAGACCCTGATAAGGCCCGTTTATCGATATGCTTTGTCTAAGTCGACTTACCTCCTTCTCCATCACCTCGACTTGCCTCAACATCGCCTTTGCCTCAACATCGCCTTTGCCTCAACTTCTGCCTGCCTGCTATCCTCAAATTTAATTTTTTATCAAGTTAGTTAATTCTGTAACAGCCTAGTAATCATAAATTCAATCAGTCTATAAAAGCCTAACCCTCGTGCTAATTTCAAATTCATAAGCCTCGTGCGGGGCGAAGGAAGATTGTTCCATCTTCGAGCACCCCTAATAGTTAATCATTGCTAAAGAAATAATTAATTTTCATCAAAATAACTGCCCGTTAGTTAAGCAGAACAAACACGTATCTTTAATGAAAGCTAATATCAACCATACGGCCTTCTGATTTTATAATAATTCTCTTAAGTGTTAGCTGCTTTGCGCCATAAATCCCCAAACCACCAACCAATCTTAAGATAAACGTATGATAAACACTGTTGGGAGTTATCGGTAAAACAAAAACTCGATTTTCAAGCAAGACCACAGTAACTTCTTCCTTTACTGCTATTTAAAGCACACTAGTAGACGTAGAATAATCTTACTATAAAAATGATCCGTTATGTGCGTGTATATGTGTGTTATCATCCATCACCCACAGTTTGCTGCCTCGATAGCCGTATTTTTTTTTTGTATGGTGGCTGGAAACTTTCCGCCTGTGCACATGGGCTAACTTTCCATCTGTGTACATGGGCTATTTTGTTTTAGGATTTTTGTCCAAGATCAGAAATAAAGAATACTCTAAATTATGGCACATTCCCACTTTTTTAATTGAATTTTGAATTTGAATGTAAATATACAAGTACTTAACCATGATGACAAAACCTTGTCGAAACGTTGTACATTTGCTGTTATGTTAAACTTATATTATAGTTTTTCTTCATTACCCATTCAAGCCGTCTCCAACCATTATCAGTTAAATCAGTCAGTTCTTACTACCACAAAGCAGGGTATACAGTTAGCATCTAATGAGGTCATTAGGGATTTAAGAACAAAAGAAAGAAGGAAAAGGAACAGTTTCTTTTATAAAATTCTTGCTTTCTTATTTAACGGGTATCCCCAACTATGATTAAGAACAACGAATTTTCTGTAAGCGGCCATATTTTAAACATTATGTTTACCACAAGATGAGCTTAAAATATTTTCACACTGTATATTTTAGAATGTCTCTTTGTGGGAAAATCGATATTTCTATTTTCAGTTCTCTCTTTGAAAGTCTAAGTTTAGACAAAAACTGAAACTACCGCAGTTTGTGTATTTTCCATATCTCAAGGAATGTTAATAATATTTATTTCGGAAGTTCGCGCATAGCTACACAGGGGCTATCTGCATTGGCCATCCTAAATTTTGAACTTATAGGCAAAATGGTAAAGTAACTACTGAGCAGCACCCACATCTAACAATCGGGCTATTCTAATCGAAAAATAATATTGACTATCACTCTGTAGCCCAAAAATACGAAGTGCGATTTTTTTGGCAACTTGGCGGATCCATGAATCCCTGGACTATAACAACTAGTCCACGCCCGGCCCCTGTTAATAGGTTAAAAAATCCATAACATTATAATTTGTGCCTAATGGTTCAGCATTATAAACAGAACAAAAATACTTTACTAAAGACAGAAAGCTTGTTAATGATGTTACCACCGGTAGCTCAGCGGTGGTCACAGAGCGGATAGCCCAATGTGCAGCTTTGCGTTTAACAACAAACAAAAGGGTAGTGATGTTAGTTGTGTTTGGTACATACATTCAAGCGGGTATCTTTATAAGTTGGATGTTTCTAATGAAGATATTAATTATTTTTGTCGCAAATGCGGAAAAGCATGATATAACACACTTAAGAAAACTTACAAAAATTATTTGTTTTTAATAATTTGACATACCTATTACTCAGGTAAAAACTGAGTTTGATGTTCATGAGTTTTTTTTTTATTGGTATAGCGAAAATAAAATACAATTACTTCAACATACAGCTCTGTACTCAGTTCATAAACATTTAAAAAAACATTGAAAACAGTAAACATTACTTTAATGTTTTTATAACAAGTTAAGACATCTCAACCTAGAAAGCAGCTGCCTCGTAACTCAGGAATCTAGATCCACATGTCGCGGGATTGGTTTAAGACTGGCAATTCCGGTAGTTTTTAACAATCCAAGGTGACCTTTGCTCTTGTGACACTGTTTACGAACTTCCTTTCCTTTGTATAATATTTGTACTATCTGTTTATACTACCGCCCTGAATAATCAGGGGAAAAGTTGGTTGAAAGCTAAGAACTTGGGTTTCCCCTTACCCTACTAATACTAACCAATTACTGTCAATCTCTGTGCTCAATTGACTAGAGCCCTTCTGCTTATTCCAGACGGATTTCCCATTTGTCCATGCCTGGGGTTGCGTCCACTTCCGCGTAGAGTGACGGTAGCCACGTACAGTTATTTCCTTGTTCACCGAACGACTGGGGAATTACACCTGGGCAAAAAACGGTTCATTGATACTTGTCTTCTTGTGCTATTAAAGCAATCAGACGGTTTATGCAGGACAAATGCATGCAGAGAACAACGTAAAGTAAGTTGTTAACTTAAGGTCATAGTTAAAGAGATAGCGGCCCTTACAAACATAGTCATATCTATGTATAACTTATAAGTATAAACACGAAAATATATTAATCCAAGGAATCGCGAAGAATATTTTCCGAGAAACTGTGAAGTTTCAGCAAGTTAAGTTATTCAGGTGAGACGATAATGTTTGCTTATTTAAAATTTGTAAGTATTTGATAAACCTTTTAGAACCCTTGTGCAAAATGATATTTTGTTGCAAAGTCTATGGTATTCGTCATTTTTATAATGTTCATGTATCAAACATGTGTTTTTTATTATCAAAGATATATAAAGCATAAGAGGCTGGTAACACCAAAAGAAATATACAATATGTACATTAAATATTTCGCATTATATAGGCAAAAAATGTAGTTTTAAACATGAGATTTCCTGCATTATTCATTATGAACAAAATAATTTTATTTACACACACACACACATATATATATACATACGCATCTTAATAATAAGTAAGAGCTATTATTTGTTTATTTTTGTTACTCTGATTGAGTTAAAAACTATCTAATTAAATATGTATATATACTGAAAAGCAGTGTTATGGTCACCAGCATTTTTAGTGAAAGGTTGTTAACAATATCATCATATTTTGTATTAGTTGGCATTATTACAATGTAGGCAGTGAATCAATTGTTTCCCGTCACTTGGGAAAATTGTGACATGAAGTTGTACGAATGGCCCTGATATCATGTACAATTGCATTATTTGAATAACTAGACAGATGTCCTTAAATACACAAAAATATATATGTTTTGCTTTCTTCTGCATATGGATGTGGAATAGGAGAAAAATTAAAATACCTTACAAAACATTAGGCCCACTATTTTCCACTTCCATAAGCAAAGGATACTGCATTAAGATATAGCCTACAATAATTAGTTCATTTTTCTAAGAAAAAAAATTATTGTTCACAATGAAAGCATGTATTTTTTTAAAAAAATACAGAGTTTATAGAAGTTTAACGACAATTTTTTGTATAATTAATTGTTTACTGAATAATTGTTGAAGACGACTCTTGTTACATTTATTTTTTTTATTGTAATCTGCATAAAATAATGTATAAAATATCTTTTGGAAACGTTTAAGAGCTTAAAATTCTTAAGGTTGTGTATAATTATGACTTATTATATTTAAAACACTGATAATTTAAGGACTTCTTTTAGGGCTTTGTTTATAATGAATTTCGAGCAAAGCTACACAATTAGCCGTCCCTAATTTAGCAGTGTAAGGCTAGAGGGAAAGCAGCTAGTCATCACCACCCACCGCCAGCTTTTGGGCTACTCTTTTAACAACGAATAGTGGGATTGACCGTCACGTTATAACGCCCCACAGCTGAAAGGGCGAGCATGTTTGGTGTGACGGGGATTCGAACCCACGAGCGCCCTAACCACCTGGCCATGTCGGGCCTTTTAGGGCTTTGTAATTATTCATTGTTATAATTCTAGCTGGTCAGTATTAAAGTCAGCATGTTGAGTTAGAAGCCGTTTATTTAGCATGTTAATTCTGATGGCGGAACTAGAAGTAAAATAATTAATGTGCTGATTAATAAAATAGCTGAATTAATTAACATTCCCTACATACATGACATATTATTGTATAATATATTCTCTATTTTATGTTGATATGAAGTTTGCAAAGTGCAAAGCTACACGACGGGCTGTCTGCACTGTGTTTATCACGAGTATCGAACACATATTTTTTTTTTGTATATAAATCCTCTAGCTCAGTGCTTCTCAAACTATAACCATAAACACTAAATTAACTTGGCACACGCATTTTAAGGAAATTTGCATAAAAATTAAAACAAGAATGGCTTACCTCCACAAAATCAGTCACCGCGTCAACGGATGCAGACCACAAATAATCATGTATATTTATAAAACACTCATCAGACCACTATTAGATTATGGCGCAATGATTACATGTAACATGAATAATAATCAACAGCAGATTTTACAAAAACTACAAAACAAAGTAATACGTCTCGCCTACCGCCTCTCTCACTACACACCCGCGTGCTACGTTGAAAAACACACAACACTACACACTATTCAAGACCGCATTTATAAACTCGCCGCTAAATACTACAAAAAAGCCGCCCACCGAAATTCACTCACAGCCGAATTTCATAAAATTGCCGCCACCCCAAACCATGGAGAAAATACCTGTCCCCATATAACATGATACACAACACCACAAATACCTGTCCCCATATAACATGATATACAAATACCTATCCCCATATAACATGATACACAAATACCTGTCCCCATATAACATGATATACAAATACCTATCCCCATATAACATGATACACAAATACCTGTCCCATATAACATGATATACACCACTACCACATCTCAATGATCCACAGAACTACTTATAACATATTATATTCTTTGCATAACCATTTCACTGTTCAGTATCTATCCAGGTCTTCAACCCGTCAATAGATCTTCACCTGAGCGCTAGTCGGGCTTCTATTTGGTCCCGACTAGTGAAAGTGGGTTTTCTCGGGGTACTCCCGTTTCCCCCACATCAAACTCTTTGGCATTGGATCTATAGATCCCAGCCTTGGCACTTGGATCCACTGATCTCCGCCAGGCTCTGTAAAGGCCCGTTTGCTTCATTTTGTTTCGATAACTTCTTCAAAGATCAACCGGCCTCTGCTACGCCTTGGACTTGCCTTCACTTCCGCCTACTTGCCTCACCATCATACGTATATATGTAATTTATCATTATTTAATTAATTAATTATTATTACTCCTTCTTCGCCCATACGGCTTATTATTCCGCTGACCATTAATTGAAATTAAACCTTATGCCACGATCAGGGTAAAGGAGGATTGTCTAATCTTCGAGCACCCTTGATTAGTAATTATTTCTTAAATCAAAATAACTGCCAAGAACAACAACAACAACAGCTTCTCAAACTGTGTGTCGCGGCACACAGTTGTGCCACTGAATGGTTTCAGGTGCTCGCGGAATTTTTGCAATTATTAAGTAATTTTTATTTAGTAATGTAAATTATTTATCAATTTAATGCATTTATAAAATTTCAAATTTGATATATTTTCCATATAACATGATACACAAATACACTACTCTGCCTGTCTTAGGGAGTTGCCACTAGGCCTGCCTTACGGTCTTATTTACATGTGCCGCTAAAAGTTTGGAACATTAAAAGTGTGCCGCGAGCTGTCTATTAAAGAGTACTGATATCAAGCTGTCAAAATCGTAAAATAAACAGTAAAAGTAAGCAAATCACAATGTGAAATGAATAAATCATTAAGTTGTTTTATCTATCGTTTATGAATATAATTAACAAAATATAATTTGCAATTGTATATTGTCGTACAACAATGTTTTTGTTTTCTTATTATAAAGTAGTGAACAAGCACTTTTACTTGTGATATAATTTATCTAAGCGTCATTCAGTGCATAAGGTTATCAAATTCCTGATCATCGTGATATTTATAAGTTTTTTGTTATTTTTGTTTTTAAGGAGATTTTTGAGTCTTTATAATAAAAATCGTATTTTCATTGAGATTTTTTTCGACGACTACAAAACCGTAATGTGTTAAATTTCGATATGGCAATTTGGATGTTGTGTTAAACGTTCGCAAACACCTCTGTATAGAAAATTATTTCCAAAGCAATAGGAAAGGTTGTAACATTTAAACTGAAAATTTATCTTTGATGAATGAATTGTTTTGCAGAACTTTAACTATTTTACATTTTTTGTATTATATTGACGTGTTTTTAACTCTGTAGCAATAAGAAGTTTCCAGGCTATGCTAAATAAAAATCGCCTTTCAATATTCTTCCATTCATTCGTAAAACATTGAACAGAATTTATTATTAAGAAATTTGTAATAGCATACTTTTATATCTGTTTCAGATCTAAGCGCCCAAGAGAAGCATCAATAGATCCAGAAGCAAATAACCCAAACAAGATCGTCATTATGAAGTATTATCTGTTTTTCTTGGTAGGGTTAGCTCATGTTTCTAGGATCTGGGGTTTCAATTGTCATCATCACCACCAGCATGAAATATGCATTTGTGATAACAAACTCATTGGTTCCAGTGCTAGCTCCAAGTTGATTTGTATGGATCCCAAGACATTATATAATTCATACGTAATTGAATATGCTGTTAAAAGAAGAGTAAGACTCGAATGCAACGATGTTGTTCCTTTCAAAAGAGGAATGTTTAACAGTTACAACATCACAGAAATTGACACCTTCCATTTCATCAACTGTCCTTTACCAAACATGACATTTAAAGAACTCCTCCAGGGAATGCGGATATTGCAGCTAAAGTTTGAGAGTCGAAGAGAATACTCGTTAATTAAACCACGGTTTTTCGAAAACCTAAATGAATTAAAAACTTTGAGTCTAGTAAGGAATGGATTTTCCGTTCTTCCACTTAACATGTTCTCAAACCTATCAACGCTACACGCACTCCAGCTTTCAGGTAATAAACTGCAAGTTATGCCAGAAAATGTTTTTAACCCTCTGGGTAATCTTACAACTTTGGATATTAGCAGGAACATTATAAAGGAAATGCCAGAAAGTTTGTTTAACAAACTTACTTCCTTGCGTAATCTCTATCTCTTTGAAAATGAATTAGAACAGCTACCCGTTGGCATTTTTCGTGGCTTAGAACATTTAACTGCTTTGGACATTTCAAAAAACCAGCTCTCTGAAGTTCCAGTTGAACTTTTTAGTAATCTTTCTAAGCTGGAACATTTACGTCTTTCCGGAAACCGCCTAAAAACACTTCCAGAAGCTGTTTTTCAAAGTGTACCCCGTTTGAAAATCTTAAATTTGGTTTCAAACAAAGATCTTTCGCACCTCCCAGAACGGCTTTTAAATGGTTTAGACAATCTTCAAGGCTTGCTTTTAGACAATTGTAATCTGTCTAATATTCCTTTATTTTTTTTCTCAAATGCATTTTCTTTACAAAATCTCAAAATCAGCAACAATAAGCTTACTGTACTTCCAGAAACACTGTTCCTCACTAATAGCAACTTAAAAGAATTGGATCTAAGCTTTAACAAGTTAAATAACTTATCACCAACAATTTTTGAGAAGCAGATTGCATTAGAAAAATTAAATTTAGAAAATAATAGACTAGAGCAGTTACCTTTAGGGACATTTAACAACTTAATAAGTTTAAAAATTCTCAAAATATCTTACAATAAATTAAACTGGATAAACAAAGAGCTTTTTACAAATCTCCAGAACCTAGAGCATCTTGATCTAAGCCATAATCATATTAATTCGATTGACTGGAATGCAGCCTTAGGCAGTCTATGGAATTTAAAACTTCTCGATTTTTCTTATAATAACATATCAATGTTCCCAAATCTTGACTGGAAGACGTTTTTAAAACTAGATATTTTAAATTTTCAGTATAACCAAATAACAAATATATCCGTACCAATTCTGTATTCTAAGTTTACTCGCGTGCTTCTGCGTTTTAATAAAATAACACAAGTAAAAGTGACCAATCTGAAGACGTATGATAACTTACTAAAATATACACCTAATTACAATTCTATAGAATATCTTCCAAGATACCCTGACACACCTTCATTCTTTCTTAGTGCAAATCCCATCCACTGTGATTGTAATTTGTTAGAGTTTTTCGATTATTTGACATTAAGATCATCTGTCAAACACAACGCAATTTTTCCCAATGCGAATCTATTAATGTGTGCTGGGCCTTCTTCTTTAGCTGGTAAGAAACTTCTGGACGTAGCAAGAAATGAATTAAATTGTCCTATATATCGTGACTGTCCAGAGCCGTGTGCTTGTCATTTTCGAGGATATGACAAAACTGTCAAAGTTGACTGTAGTAATAGAAATTTAGATGCAATACCAGAGGTATTACCACCCAACACAAATGTGTTATACCTTCAAAATAACAGCATATCTTCCTTTAAAAATGTCAACAGAAGCTCTTCTCACATCATGAACTTAAAGGAACTATATCTTGACTATAATCTCTTATCAGCAAAAACAGACTGGGTGCTTCCACCAAATCTTCGCTTCCTTTCTTTAAAAGGAAACCGGCTAGAATCTCTGCCACAAGCTTTGGTATGGTTCACAAGACAAAATCAAGGTAGCCTCAAACTTCGACTTGGGAAAAACGAATGGCGATGTGACTGTTCCGTTCTCGAATTCAAATACTGGTTAAGTGTTTCTCGTAATATAGTAACTGATTCTCAGGATATTCTGTGTTATAATTTGATGCAAAACAATGGAAGTCGAATGGCAACGATCCTGGATATCCCGGACGAGGTACTTTGTCCAAAAAATGGGCTCAGTCACTGTATCATACTAATAACTGTGTCAGTTGTGGGTATTCTTCTCTTTCTTTTTTTATCTTTCACAGTAGTTAAAAAGTTCATTGATGATAATAAGAAAATTAGAAACATTTACAGAGTTTCCCAATCTGTGTTTAAAGAAGATGCGAAAATTAAAGAAAAAATAAATTCGAACTATAACATATGAGGTCATAAACAATAACCTACTATTTAAAAGAATAATGGAATATGGTGACAAAAAACTGTCTACGACAGTAAGCCAAATACGAAACGATCAGCTGATAAAGGATTTTGTGTATCGTCATGAAGCATTGAGGGTAGACTGAGCACGTTTAATGATTAGAAAACCCTCAAAATAATAAGTTACAAATGAACAGTTCTTTCAAAAATGGGCACCTGTTCAATATATGTATCTTAAATCTCATTCGGTACATAATTTCAATACAAAATGTTGTTAAAACATTAATAAAGTGAAATAAAAACTGTTTTTAACTTTTTCAAGAAATTAGTTTCTCCAAAATTATTGAGCATTTCATTAAGAAAAATTTAGTTTCTTCCGACAGCAAATTAGAAACTGATGTATTGTGAAATTAAACACATTGTTTATAGTCTGATATCTAAAGATTAGCTCTCGGATATAAATCAAAATTAGTTTAATCGAGTCACAATATTTTGAAAAGGCTTAGTATAAAGTCGCGTTTGCTTTTGTTAGTTTACTTGTGGCAAGTTGTAAAAAAAATGTACTCAAACATAAACATTGTATTTTCATTAAAAGTTAAGTGATAAATAATAAAAAAATTACATATATATATATATATATATATATATCGATGTTTGAAATTAATAAGAAAAAATCATCTGAGGTAGAAAGATATTATGGTATGTCCTATACTCTCATTTCCGTAGATGTTAACATAGATATTGTGATATACATATTTATGTGATTAGGAAATCACGAAATTATCGTAAGTAGTAAGTTTATAGTATTTGAAAACTTAACAGTTATAGGTATACAACACGATAAGTTATATTTTTGACACCCACAAAATTATGACTTTTTCTAATTAACAAAGTATGCATAATGTTCGCAAAATGAATTCAGGATGATCCATTGATTTTGCATAAAGTTGTGGTACTTTTTGTGATTTTTATTAACTTTCTTATGAAAAAAAAAACATTTGCAAAGTATATAACAAGAATAATATTTATGAGTAATTCGTTTGCGCAAATTACAGCATAATCCAGTCGTGTTTTCGAATAGTGAACTATAACGTAAAAAAGAACAATATTAAAATATTACTGAAATGTATGTTTGGTTTATTCAAGATTACACTCACTGTAGTTTTCAGAAAGAGTTTCTTCCATAACGCAGAACTTAGTGAATTTTATCTTGTTCACAACAAATTTTCCCCCAGTAGCAAAAAGGTAAGTCAGAAGATTCACACCTCTAAAAACCGCGTTTCGATACTCGTGGTGGACACAGCACAGATAGCCCTGTGTATAGCTTTATGCAAACAAACCCAGTAAATTTTATAAAATCCAGGAAATAAGTTACTAACGGTTAGAAATATATAACAGTTTTGTGTTATCTATAAAATATATTTTAGGGGAATATTGAAGCTTGTTTCTAAACCTACTTAATACAGATATATGTCTATTAATTGTATTCAGCTATAATCTTGCAGATTTGTAAAATAAAGTATAGAGTAAAGGGTTAACTATTGTAACATTAATTGCTTTGTGTGATCAAATGGACGTCTAAAATTATTATTAACTTTGGATTAAAATTAGTTAAAGTATATTTTTAAAATATTTTATAACATTATGCAATCGAATACTACCTTTGATTTCTATTTCATTTCAGCCTTTGCAATATATATAAAATAAACAAAGCCTGAAATTTTTTAACATAGTTGCTAGGAATCCTGAATTTGATTTAAAAACAATCGAAATCCTCAGTCTTTTATGAAATAATACGAATAATTCAAGGCATACATATTTTACACATGCAAGAAAAAATGAACAGGCCCAATTGATTATAATACGGAAAGTTAAAATCAAGTGTAGTTATATGTAGCATTTAAAGTATTTATACACAAACCTCAATATATTCATTATACATATACGACTATAAATTTTTGTGTTAAAAATCACGTAAACTGAAGATCTTTTTTACATATTCTTTGAAATTAGCAAATTAAGGTACCAAAAAATATCTCTGCAGCTTACATGATTTTAACAAAGATTTTAGGCCTATTACTTTATAATTGCTTCGCCAACTTTCGGTATCTAGCCCATAAGATTTATAATATATACATATTTCAAATACTCGTATCTAAGTAAAATATATTAACTATTCACTCTTTTGTATCATATATCAGTTTATAGAATCTGTATAACATAGGCCATTTCATTTGTTTTGGCATGCTTCTCCTAATTTAGGATGTAAAACATGTGCCTCTGTACAAACATATTTGTTTGTTTGTTTGTAATTAAGCACAAAACTACACAATGGGCTATCTGTGCTCTGCCCACCACGGGTATCGAAATCCGGATTCTAGCATTGTAAGTCCACAGACATACCGCTGTGCCACTGGGGGGCGTACAAACATATAAACACAAAATTACTTATTGGACGGACGAAAGTACATATATGATGCCATAAAATTTATGACAACTTATAAAAACATACCACGACTAACTGCAATCGAACAAGAATAACATTCAAACTGTGACAACAAGTCATACAAATAGTGAAAATTATTGTGATGAATTGATAAAAAGTACGTCCAAAGACAACTGGTGAGGAGAGCAATTAAAGAACTTGGATTTAGCTTGGGTATTACTTGCCACACAACCAGGAGGAGCGTTACAATAAAATAGTAATTGTGATTTAGATTGGGTATTACTTGCCACACAACCAGGAGGAGCATTATCGTCACATAATAATTAGATTTAGCTTGAGTATTACTTGCCACACAACCAGGAGGAGCGTTACAATAAAATAGTAATTGTGATTTAGATTGGGTATTGCTTGTCACACGACCAGGAGGAGCATTATCGTCACATAATAATTAGATTTAGCTTGAGTATTACTTGCCATACAACCAGGAGGAGTAATATTATGACATAGTAAGTATAGTTTGTAAGCACATTACCTTTGGCAATAATGTGATCAAACAGAACTATAGAGGAAGTATTGTACAACTGCTACACTCCATGAAAGTACAGTACTCATCCTGCTGTGAAGTTAGTGGTCCTGAGAGATCCGAGATTCATTGAACCCTGTATGATGCATATATTGGACAACACCTTAGGGTGTGTTGCACTACGGCCAAACTGGAAAAACGGCTTAACTGGCCACATGTTTGCAACCATGACTAGTTAAGATTTATACATTGTATTTCCTGGGTTGCCCATAGAAAGAAACATCTCTGACAGAAAAACCTCCATTACTAAGTAGTGAAAAAAAAATAAAACAGTAGTCATTACATCCTAGTGGTAATCAATATTAACTTCTAATCAAAGCATTCTTTACTTCACTAAGTAGGTTGAAGATTATGATCATGCCAATACATTGGCTCAAACAGTCACAAACAAATTTCCTTAACAATGGATAGCCTGCTTTGGAAAATCGATCAAAGAGCAAACTTTAACGAAAAACTCACTGCAAACCCAAAACATTGTTTTCAAGTTTGTCAATAAACGTATCTTTATTTGGTAAGTTGTTCATCTTGTTTGTTTTCTTAGAGGGTGGGCAAAATACGCCCCACGGGCCGGATCCAGCCCGTCTAACATTTCTGTTCTTTATATGAAGAGGTTTTACGAACTATTTTGTGTTATAAGAATTTCATTAGCAAGTTGAACTTGGTTTTGATATATTGTTTAGCTTATATCTGCTGATTTATTACCATACCATTTTACTTCATTTTTCTATTATTTTGTTGAATTTTCTTGTACTTTACACAATAGCAGATATGTGTTTTTGTTTCCCTTATGTGTTATTCATTGAAATTTTATTCATTCTTTTAACCGGCAGTTTTCATCGTTTTTGTAATTGAATGGTTTTATTTTGATATGCGTTCCATTACGTTGTTGTATTGTACTTAAGGGATTAATTTCCCTATGTTGTAATGTATTTAGTAATTTTGCTTCGATAGGGTCTGTTTTGGTGTGCTTTGTATTTGCATGTATTTTAAAAGGGTTTATCTTGTAATTTTCTATTGTTATATGTTGCATGTTTAATTAGTAGTTTGTGTGATATTGAGACATTTGTCCTATTTGTGAGTCTAATATATGCATGATTCATCTAGTGTATTGTCATGTTGTGTTTCCAAAGTCATTCTAATGTATTTGTCACTCTAATTGAGTTTAATGTAATCTTACAAGCTTGTATTCTAAATTTTTAATTAGTGTTAAGTTTAGATTAAATTTGGCTTTATATGTGCCTAAAATGAGGAATAATAGGATATGGTGTGCAAGTACTGCATATCTCCCTCTCCTATGGTAAATATTTCATATCTGCAAAATTTAAAATTTTCGAGATTCTGATTTGGAACATACTACATGCGCCACGTTCAGGCTCTGGTGTTACTACTAACTAGAAACAATTTACTTTTTCACGAGATATTTACATGTGTTCTACGTATACTTTACCTTGTGTATGAAGTCTGCTTTGTGACTGTCACTTGGAGCAAAAATACTTCTGGATTCAAGTTAACCACTTTCCTGATCGGTCAATACAGAGAGAGAAAGTGTGAACTGTAAACATACTTTTAGCATTTCCAAGCAGAATTCATTTCTATGTTTGAAATCTTGTCATTTATCGTGAATAATTTAACTGGTGAACGTTTCTTTGTTTTATCATTGAATTATCAGAGGTTTTTAACTTACCTTTAATATCTGTTTTACAGAAATAGTTTTTAAATTAAGAAATAGCTAACTAGGTAACTTATTTGAACTCATAAAAAAAAACTTAACTTAGATAGATATTGGTTCAAACATTTATTCATCAAATAAGCCTCCCAGTGGCACAGCGGTATGTCTGCGGACTTACAACACTAGAATCTAGGTTTCGATACCCGTGGTGGGCAGAGCACAGATAGCCTATTGTGTAGCTTTGTGCTTAATTACAAACAATCATCAAATACAAGATCAGTCTATATTACACTATTCTTTTAT